AACTACGATAAAAAAAATAAATCAAAAATTGACAAAATGGCAGCGTTTTTTAAAAAAAAGTCGAATTTTACCCAAAATTTTGGTCGTTTTTCGACTGCCAAAATTCGAATTTTGATCCGATCAACATGTAAACATGTAAAAATGTAAGAACATGTAAAAAAAAATTGATAGTGATCGGATCATTGATTTGAGTAATCACTGCAGCAAATTCAAAAAATGCTGTTTCGAGAAAAACGCGTTTAAATATAAAATGATCGTTGTACTATATACTATATATATACTTTTTAAATGGTTGTAACTCAAAAACTATTTGAGATATCGATTTGAAATTTTAATATGTTATTATAATAAAACAAAAAACAATAACCGAAAACAAAAATCGATTTTTTCAAAATTTCACACTAGTTGTGCCCCTTAAAGCAGTTCTACATTTAACATCACTCATATTTTGGTAATTAATAGTAATTCAAAATACAATAATTAACTTCCCGAAGAAGAAGTTTATGTTTTCATCGAAAAATCCGATTCACTAATTTTATGTTTTCTCGACGTTTCAAGCCATTCTGAATAGAATGAGACCAAATGTGGAAAAAGTATGTGTGTGTGTGCGTGTGTGTGAACAGATTTTTTACCGTAAATCGACGTTTTTTCCAAAACGGCTGGACCTATATCAAAAATTTAAAAGCCATTCGATGTATGTCGATGAGGACTAGTGTTTTACAGTTTTGTGCGACGATCGGCCAAGCCGTTTCTTTGTAAATCACAGAAAAGTGAAAAATTTTTCGTCCACGTTTTAAAATCGATTTCGTATGAATCGATTTAAAAAATTGAAAAACCGTTCGATAGATATTGTTTGAGAATCGTGCTGATTAGTTTTTGGTAAAGATCGCCCGGGCCGTTTTCTTGTAATAAAGTTTTTTTTCTAAAAAAAATCGACGATTTTTATTATTTTTTTTTTGACGGTAGATACCTTAGTCTTCTAGATCATACTAAAATATTACCGCTCTACGACAACTCGTTTAGCTTTAAAAATTCGTCAAAGTTTGCAAAAATTGGTATCGTTTTTTGGCATTTGTCAAAATTAGAACTTTCATCGACGTTTGCTCAAAAACGCCTGAACCGATTTCAGAAATTCAAAAGCCATTCGATGTACCTCAATGAGCACTATTGTTCGTCAGTTTTGTGAGACGATCTGCTCAGACGTTTCTTTGTAATTTGAAGAAAAAAGTGTTACACTTTTTGTCCACATTTAAGCTCATTCTACCGAATCGATTTTAAAAAATCAAAAACTGTTCGAAAGATATTAGTTGGGAATATTACTGATTAGTTTTAGGTGAAAATCTACCGAGCCGTTTTCTTGTAATTAACTGTTAAAAAACAATTGAGTCGATTTTTATGAAACTTTTTTTAGCGATATATATCATGGTCTCATAGATCTTACTGAAATATTACGGCCTTACGACAAGTCGTTTGATCTTAAAAATTCATCAAAGTTTAAAAAAATTAGTAGTTTTTTTGACGTTTGTTAAAATTAAAATTAGACGATTTACTTGGTATAACGATAGAGTACTTGGTCTTAATGAATATACTAAAGAAACCATTGAAGTCCTACGGAAACTGGTTCAATTATAAAAATTATTGATTTTTGAAAATTTGCTTTTAGAAAATACTCGAGTTAACGTGTTCGTTCGTTTTCAATTATGTCGATTAAGTCGATTATTACACATATCGGGAAGTTCATGTAACTTGCCCCAAGGCAAAATACCAATATCAACCAGTTATTATTTTTAGCTACACGGTAAATATTGATATAGAATTAAAAAAAAAACTTTCCAATCTATTTGAATATTACTTTCCGCTTGTATTAAATGTAGCTATTGAACAGCTTAAGGATATGTGTATAATCCTTATCACGAGCCCTGGGTTCGCCTTCTTCCTCGTAAACTAAAATTCCGTGTTATCCGTAATTCAAGCCTTTTCGCTAAAACTCTGCAAACATTATAGAGATATATGCAGTACTGTAACAATCTTCCAACTGCTAAAGAGAGAATAATTATAAACGACTACGTCGGCCTCTATGTGTATAGTTGTCTGCAGTATCATGTTCTCTACTTAAAATACTATTAGTAATCGGATATTAGTGATCAAATGTATGGCGGAAAGCCGTCGCCGAAACGCACCAATACCGACGCCATGGATGTGGTAGTGGATGCACTAGGAATTTAGTATAGACACATGACTAGTGATCCTTGTTCGAGATTCTGCATCCCAGTATTATATAGTCAGGACTAGTCTTACACAAGTAAGTACTGACTACACTATGCAACTACATTTTATTATTAAACTTTTTTTTTTTGAAATACAACTTCTTTAGGCGCGACTAGGAAGTAACTCAGCAAAATTCAAACGGATATGCGTTACGCCGAATACTCATTCGTCATTGGCCGACGATGTCGTCATTCGAAACGATTTTATGCGACTGATCCTATTGCTACGTAGGGGGAAGTCCCGTAACGCTGGACGGCAGCAAGAACCGGACACTCTATTTAACACGTATTATTTAAGCGAGTGAAAAACAAGTGAAATGGGCATGGGGAGCACTTAGGTACAGGATCACGCGCCAAGCCTCGCCTGTGACGCACACGGCCACGGCTGGAGCAACCCTTTGCTGTTTTAGACGTAAAATCACGGCGTCACCTAAATATCAATATAAGTAATTCTAGTATATTTATACATTTGAGTGGCATTCAAAAATTAAAGAAGTACTTGATTGTTATCCGTAAAATGGTAGAATAATATTAGATATTCTAAACAATTTTAGTAGGTACTACCAAATGAACGATGTTGTCTGTCCCTTAGCACCGGACACTAAGTCGTCCCTTAGTGCCAGACAGTAAACATATTGACATTTCTTATGAGAATTCACGTAATTTATTCGAAATATTTAATTTTGTTCTGCATGAGTGCTAACGGTCACTTCATACCACCATTTTTCGTATTTCCTAGTCAAAGAATGAAAAGCTTATGGTAAATGCACCAGCTGAAAGCATCGGTGTGGCCCAGGCAAAAGGGTAAATAGTTTTTTTTTTTTGCAATATCTAAGAATATTCGTCAAAGACACACGTGTAGGCAGTCCAGAGTGTGAAGATGGCAATGTTTGAAAACCCATAATAAAAGTATTTTCTCTCCTTGATAGATTTTTAGGTGTGAGCGCCATTGTTTAGTTTACGAGAACTTAATATATTATTTAAGTATGCTTTATTTAATTGTTTTATGAGATGTATTCGTAATTTTATGTTATATTCAACAGTTGTTTTATATAACCTCTAAAAATGCTCATACCTGGATGAGGTAAAAAGGACCAACTAACTTACTCTGGCAAAGGTGTGAACAATGATAAATAGTAAATAAAAAAGTAAATTAAGTTAATATAAGCAATTTTGCAAGAAATAAGTGGAATAAATATTTATTCAAATCCTTCTTATCATTTTTTTTAATAAAATTCCACATTAAGGTTATATACAATATTATCTCAGAAATAAAACAACAACAAAAACAGATAGTTGTTTGTTTGATATGTGTTATTTGTTGTGATATAATTTGTTTGGTTTTCACAATATAATCAAATCAAGTCAAATTGATTCTTTGTGCCCTACCCTACCCTATATTTATTTTTGAATACTACTAGGGGGCAATCCAAACGATCAATCAAAACGATTTGGATCAATATTTTTCAGTAAAATCTGATATCACCACTACTTGATAACTGCTGTTTTAAGTCGGAAATTGAACATGAACCTCTTGGTTCATTCACTTCAACAACTTTATCAATAAAAAATCAATATATTAATTTTTGAGTAATTTATGAGTATAAATAAACACGATTTACAAATAATTACAGTAAGTAATTATTTAATACTTAATTTGTGAAATTTTTTGCCATTGAATGGTTCATTTTTGTCTATTGATTGATTTTTTCATTTTTACCGAAAATATATTTTGCTCTATAAAATATAAAATAGTTATAAAACCACTTGATTTTTACACAATATTTTAGGGTTTTCGTTATTTCTCCGGCATCCTTAAATATTTCATTAATTTGACGGTAAAGTTTGCAGGTTTAAACATAGTTATAACAAGGCATGCCGTGCGGCAGCTGTTACGAACACGAGGCGAAAACTGATTTTAGTGCATAACTTGCAAAATACTTTGAGCAAAAATTTTTAGAAATTCAGTTGAACCTTAACGCATTTTCTTATATTTAAATTTCAGAGTCAAATCAATAATATTAAGATCATAGAACTACATTTAAGTATCCTAGTCACTTCAACACATAATCTGTTTTAATATATTGTCGGTATTTTAAACTGTTCATCGATTTGTTTAATGAGAGTTTTTAGATTTTTTCTTCTTGAACCATTTCACAAAAAGATATTAGTTTTTCATCTATATACAATATAGTAATTTAGAAAAATAAAAACAAAATAAGTCAATAAAAGATAGCTGAAATGAATCATTGAATAAAGTTTTATTTCGATCGCTAAATTCTAGTACCTAATTATATATAGCTATAAAGCACTTGTTCGGACGTCTTCTCGTTTTAATATATTGGCCATGAAGGTGAAAAACTTCAGGGCATTAAGCTTTACACGGAATGGTTGCTACCCCTGGTAGAGGGGGTAGCGGAATGTTTTAATTGAACTAGTTGTTCACTTCTAAAAGTAAAGTCCGTTGAACAACATGTAAATAACCAATAAAGATAAATATTTCTTCTTCCGTTATAACTTAGTAACAAATCAGTGATTGTAATTAGAACTGCAACAAATACATAATATACAAACAAATCAGTGTTTAATACAGTCCACAGCTACAAGGATTAAATTATAACCCAACAACCTGAATTATCGAAGGAGAGTTTTAATAAATTCTATAACTACGTAACACAAAATTACAGAACTCTACGCTTTAATATAAAATTTTAGGTATTTTTTCTCGCTTACCTACAACACTGAGCAGCACTTTGCTATTCCTGGTCTGAGCAACTCTGAAATCGACTCTACACCTGTAAAGTCCAGCGTCCGCAGGTCTCACTCTTTCGACGGCCAATTGCCCTGGTGAGCGCTCGGCCAGGAAATAAGCTCTACTGCCAAAAACCGCGTCATCTGACCATCTTTCTGCCACTGATAGATCTCGATCTCTCACATCCACACTGAAATAATAATATTTATTTAAATTCACAATTGAACATGATATTGTTAATATTCATAATTTGGATGAATTATTGGAATTAGTTTCTCGAAGGAGGCGTTTATGTTCTCGACGAAAAATCCGATCTACTGATGTTATTATATCTTTGGCCATAAAGTGATTAGAGTATAAAAATTCAATAACGTTTGGGATAAAAAGATGCTCTCTTAGTCATACTCCTCGAATTCAAATTACGTACAGTGTTTTGTTCTACTACAGATCACCGTTCACCACTATATTTTGTTCTACTACAGATCACCGTTCACCACTTTATATATACTAAATATAAAATATATTTTTAGAACACGAGTAGAATGAAATTTGTTGAATTGAATTTAATCAGTACAATTCATCAATTAATTAATAAATATTTTTTTTTAAACTTTTTCAAACATTATAAGTATCATAATATAGTTGTACAAACTTCAATAAACATTGAAATATAATAGGCGGAATAGACTTAAATTATTAAAATAATTCATGCTCTAAAGCAATGTAGTATTAACTATGCATTCGATTCAATATTTTATACACATGACAACCATAAATGTGAAATATCTGGTTTATCGTATACAATTATAGAACAAGTTTTGCAATACAAATTTTCACATTTATTACATTGAACAATACATTCGGCACACATATTTTTATCACAGAAATAGCATTTCCACAATGCGTTATCATCACAGTAAGGAAGAGAAGTCTTCGTCTCTTTGTTATTCATATTCATCTCTTGATTATTATTATTTTCTATCTTACTTAAATTTTTGATTCTATTAAAAAACATGCTCGTGGTTTTATCGTGGATAACCCTCATTTTAGTTGCATTGTTTTGTTGTTGTATTTTATCACTAACATAAGTTTTATATTGAGGTTGTAAATTTTCGTCTTGAGAACGCTTTCTCTTTGCCATTTTATGATATGAACATAAAAACATACGAATTAAAGTATATTTAAGGCAAAAATGTTTTTTCAACTTACAAGTTAGTTTTTTTTTAACTTCCCGTAGGGTAAGTTATTGTAATGGGCCGAAAAGAAAATTTTTACATTTCTCGACGTTTTGAAGGTTTCTGAACGTTTTGGCATACCTCAGAAAAAATTGATGTGTGTGTGTGTGTATGTATGTATAGATACAAATTTCCAGTCACGTTTTCGGGCGCACGGATCAACCGATTTGAATGGTTCAAAAAACATTCGATTCCTATTGATAGGGAAAAGAGCTGATTAGTTTTTGGCGAAGGCAGGTCCAGCCGTTTCGAAGATACGGAGCAAAGAGTGCAGAAAATAGAAATCGACTTTTTGAGAGAACGGAGTATCCGATTTGAATGATCTAAAAAACATTCAATTAGTAATGATTGGGAGAAGCGTCTATTAGTTTTTGGCAAAGGCAGGCTCAGTCATTTCGAAGATACGGAGCTAAATATGTAAAAAATGGCAGTTTTTGAGAGAACTAAGCGTCCGATTTTAATGATTCAAAGAACTTTCTGCTTCTCTTAACAAAATATTTGATTTTGGATTTTTTTTTTTTTTAGTTTTTCTTGTATATCGAAAATAATTCAGATTTTATTTCTATTCTGACTAAAGTTCTAATATAACTTAAACAAATAATTTTTAATTTGCAATTCAGTTTATATACTTCTTATCAATATTAGACAATGTTTCAATATTTATAATAATCTATTTGAAAACATTCAGTATTCCTCGAACATTTCGTTCCGGTACGGGAAGTTCCAGCAATTTGCCTTAAGGCACGATTCCACCCACTCCACTAGTTTAATTATTGTTTACTTTTTTTAATTATTTGCTGTTTGAAAGATATTAGTTTGAAATACATTTTTAGAACACACAAAATTTGTTGAATTGAATTTAGTTAGTACAATTACGGACATTATAAATCTGCTTGAAAGATATTAATTGTAAATCAAATGAACAAAAATTAAATCTGAAATATTTATTTACAGTTGTGCACTCTAAGGTCACTTTTATACAAATTCAGAATTTTTGATTTTTTATTGATTAACTCGATTATTTTACATACAAAAACTAGATAATTTATATTATAACTTTCGGTTATAATATATATTTCGAAAATGAAAATTTTTATAGATCCTTACGTTTCAAAACCGTCTGAATATTTTGGCATAGCTTAGAAAAAATGGATGTATGTGTGTGTGTGTGTGCGAGTATGTATGTATGTGCGGATACAAATTTTCGTCGACGATTTCGGGAACACGGATGATGCGATTTAAATAATTAAAAAAACATTCGATTCGTATTGATAAGGAGACGTGCTGATTAGTTTTTGGCAAAGGCAGGTCTAGCCGTTCCGAAGATACGGGGCAAAAAGTGCCGAAAACGATAACTCAGTTTTTAAGAGAACGGAGCGTCCGCTTTGAATAATTCAAAAAACATTTTATTTAACATTCTATGTAACCGTTGTATGATTTTTATTAATAATGTTAATAACAATGACGTGTCCTTCGCGTGTACATATATATATATATATATATATATATATATATATATATATATATATATATATGGCGATCTTCGGAAGCAGCAGCACTACATAGGAAAATGCTTAAACGGTGAATACGGCGTGATAATATGTATCGTCTGATAAGATTTCCTTTCCAGTTGGGTATATCCATGGAAAGCGAGGAAAGGCAAGGCAAGGCAAGGCAGAGAGCGAACGGCGCACAATTACACGCCAGATGTGGTTAATGAACCATTAAATAAGCATTAACTGCTGCGCTGCATTACTGATTGTCTGTTAAATGCTTGTTAAATGTTATTACGAATGCAATACGTGATATTCACCAACATTCAGATTTAGAAAATCAAGTGTTTGTGTACGAGAAGGTCATCAAGAAAGATTATAGAAACATCAACCAAAGCTGAATGGTGTATTGGTTTAGATTGCTCTTGTCGTATCACTGCTTAAGTCATACCCCGGCTATATTTTGTCCCATAATATTGTTAAATAGAGCTAAATTTAGCTGAGTAAACAAACGATAATAGGAAAGCTAGAAGACATTGTGAAATGGAAATTACTAGAAGGTAAACTTCTTGTTCAGTTTCTACTATTATTTTTGGGTCGGTTGTAAGCTTATTATGGCAAAAATATGATCTTGGCATTTGGCAATTTCTTAGGCATATTTCAACGATAGAATTTGTTTATGTTAATCATTATTTTCAATTTCAAAACTTGAACACTATCCAGCTAAAGTGGCACCCGTGTAAAGTTGTAAGACTTGTTCCCTTTGGGCTCATGCTTCATGATCTGATATTCCAAAGAGGACCACACGATTTATTTATAAACTAACATCTTAAAATATCATTAAATAAATAAATATTAGAACTAGTGGCGCGCATGGAATCTAGCCTTAAGGCAAATTGCTGGAACTTCCCGTACTAAATATTGTTATTTTTTTAAAAACGATTAACATTTTTGAAACAAATTTACTTCGAAAAAACTAGATTTTTGAGAAACTATGAATTTGACAAAAAATTACTTTTTTTGAAAAAAAAATAATTTTTTTTAGAAAAAAAATGTTTTCTTTATTTTGACATCTTTTGGAAATTCTGAACTTTTATCAAAGCAATCGTACTGCTCTAACTGCATAGAGACAAAATGTTAAAAAGCGCGTAAGCGCTGCATCGCCGTCTAACGGATAAACACTGGTACGGAACTCATAGGAATGTAAACAAAGTTAATACTTATTGTTATAATCTCTATAAAACATCTGATAATTTGATGTGCATCATTTTTGACCGCCAAATAGCATTTCTTTTACTTTTTTTACTAGATCTCCGAAACCGCTAGACCTATCTTCATGAAAATTTGATCAGTTCTTCATCTTGTTAATACAAGTAAAATGTGTTTTGAATTATTCAAATTGGACTCTCCCTTATCTTAAAAACTGAGTTACCGTTTTTGGCACTTTTTGCCCCATATATTCGGAACGGTTAGACATGCCTTTGCCCAAAAACTAACCAGCACGTCTCCTTATCAATACGAATCGAATGTTTTTTGAATTATTCAAATCGCTTTATCCGTGTTCCCGAAATCGTCGACGAAAATTTGTATCCGAACACACACACACACATACATCCATTTTTTCTAAGGTATGCCAAAATGTTCAGAAGGTATTGAAACGTAAAGATATATTAAAAATTTCATTTTCGATTTTTTTGCGATTACTATAACTTACCCTACGGGAAGTTAAAAATCAAGATATAAAGTCATTTTGTCCGTACTTCCTTTATTAAGTCATTTTAAGTTTTCAATAATTATGTTCGACTAAGTGAACTAAACTAATAACTAAAGAAAAGTTGATCTCAAACTGAATTCAATGTAATTTTTCAGTAGCATTTTTTAAGTAAAACTTCTTCAGGCGTGACTAGGATGTAAATCCGTACAAATGCAACGGAAGTAACGCACTTCCAGATAGGCAGATAGGAGTCGATTAGATAAGAGTCGAGTGCCAATGATTCGTCATTCGCTCTCGATGATATTCTATACGGGTCGATTGTGATTAGTCGTTGTGTATGTGAATAGAAATCTGTCGTTGTATGCGTACCGATCCCAATGAGGAAATCGGCATAGATAAATGAACATTTTAAAGTTACATCGTAGTACTAATCTTGATTTAATGAAAAATGCCTTAATCAGAAGAATATTTTTCTCTGTTCCGTGAAAATAATAAAACAAATTAATAATAAAAAAATTAATTAAACAATTAAAGGTAAGTTTATTGATTAGAAAGTATTTCTATATCATTCGTAGTTTCTATGCATAAAATATTTTCAGGCAAGACAGATATTACAGCTGTTCAAAGAATGAGATTATATTGCCAGCGAAAAAGTAAAAAAATACAAGCAGTCAATGAATGTATGTTAATTTTAATTATATAAAGTTCTTCAAACATAATTACATGATGAGTGAAGTTGCAAAAACAA